AACGTTGCAGCAGTGACGTAAGTTTTCATGGAAGATTTTACGGAGAAATCCATTTTAATTGCCGCGCACTGAGCATAGGCGATGCCGTGGCCCAGCCGGGTGAGAGGGACGCCGAGCGGAGGGGGAGTGACGGCTCCAGGCCTGCCCCTGACTCCGAGGCGGCCTCCATCTGAGGGAAACACGGCGAACGGCGCTCACGTGCGCCAGACGCCAAACTGTGAAATCCCGGAGGGGAGAGGCCCTGGGCTGTGCCGGGAGGGATTGGTAACGGCTTCAGGGAGCCTGGCGTGGCCGTGGCAGAGTCTTCTGCTTGTTCGATGGATATTCCGTGAGCACCTACTGAGCGTGAGGTTCTCCCCTTGGGTTTGGGCATTTCAGTGAACAAACAAAGCAGCCCGGCCTGCTGCCCTGGAGCTGACCTGTCCCTGAGCAGGGATCCAAACGCGTCAGGGGAGAGGGTTCCCGGTGAAGGGGGAACAGGAACAGAATCGTGAACTGTGGACGTGGACGTGGTTGGAACACAAGGCTCCAGCGTGGTCACTGGGTCTTGGCGGAGCCCCTCCTTGTAATAAAAAGCAGAGTAACCGGAGGAAAAACAAACAGGTTTAAGGACTTGTCGACCTCCTTGTACGCGCTCGGAGAGGCCGACCCAGAAAACTGAGTGCCCCCTGAGACGGAAGCAGCTGCCACCTTCAGTGCCATCCCCAGCTCAGACAGGAGGTGTTGGGGGGCCCGGGGGGCCCGGGAAGAGCCCAGGAAATGCGAGGAGGTCACGCAGACTTGGATCCCAGCCTGGTCCATTGATGAGGGTGTCTACAGACGGGGTCGCCCAGCACCTGGCCCAGGGAGGGGGCACCCTCACAGATGGAAACTCCTCATGAATGTCAGTTACTCTCACAAAGGAGGGGAACTTCTCGGTTTTCAGGGCGTCGCGGTGTCTGCTGCCTGTAGAAATAATCACCCTGAAATAACCCTTACGCCAAAGAGGCGTATTTTGTCCGAGACCTGGGTCCAGCGGAAATCTCGGTGTTGGGGCTCCTCCCGTGCTCCCCGACCTCCTGGCCGGTGTGGACGGAGGGAGTTACCTGCAGTAAGTGCCACAGGGTTTCCCGGACGCGTTTTCCCACAGGCAGCGTTTTCTTCACGGGGGTCGTGCTGAGTCAGTTCGGTCCATGGCCCGGAGTTCGTGGGGCTCCCTGGACACCTACGGATCGGTGGCATTTCTCTCTTCATGTGGCACACGGCCCGCAGCAGGGTCTCGACGCCCGGCTCAGAATCCAATCTCACGTCCAGCAGGTGCGTCTGCTGTGCCTCTTTGTTCGGTGCCGGCTCATTTTATTACTTAATTTCACGTTCCAGCCCCTGGTTCGGCATCATGCCCGTGTTTCCTCAGTTCTCCTCCCTGCTCATCCAAGTGGCAAAAAAGTTCTTTTTCCATTTTTTCCTGCCTGACAATGCTTCCTTCTCGCCTGGAACATCTACAAAGGCTCCCTGTCGGGGTCTCTATTGAACTGAAATATCTTTTGACCTTCACTGTCTCCTTTCCCTTCCTGCCACAATTGCCCGTCTCCCTGCTGCTGTCCCTGGGTGGCCATTGCTGTATTTTTTTTGGTTTTTCGGGGGGTTTTTGTGAGTGTTTTTGTTTTGGTTTGGTTTTGCAAACTAATTGTTGATAAGCATTTATCAATCGCCAATGCATTATTGATGAGGGGGAGCGGACAATGACGAAGGCCTGGATGTGCTGACCAGGAGCCGCGGAGGGGAGCCCGTCTTCTGGGACGGGGCTGAGGCCTGTCTAGTTGAGATAATGACGTAATTGCGTTAGCCATAAGGACCGCGCCCGCCTAGGAGCAGCGTTTGCACAGGGACGACTGTAGCACACGTAACTGAGAGCAATGCTTAGACGGGGTCCCTGTTTTAGGAACTAGCTTTCGTTTCTACCTGCGTCAGTCCTCTCGACAACACCCGCCGAACCGCGTACCCAGCGGCGTGGCACCTTCCTCCCCGCGTCAGACGCGCGATCTCGTGGCCAAGGTACAAATCGAGAGAGGAAGGGAGAAGAGCAGACGTTTTCATCAATGTCTTATTTCTAAGCTCTTTTTCAGGATGATATTTATTGTCCAAATAAAATATATATATATATATGTATTAGCATCAAGGAAGCAAGTAGGTAGCTAGCACTTAACTCGAGGCTCCTGTAATATTCGACATTTAACTTCATTTAGGTAAAATGATTGCTCGTGTATTTATTTTTCCTAAAGGGAACCTGAATATGTGAAAGCGCGCCTGGCCCGCTCCGACGGTCCCCGGGCACGGCCCTTCTCGTCGGGCACAGGCTGCAGGCGGTTTCCTGCTGAGAGACAGACTCCTTTTCTGAGAGGCGAGAAGGTGCTTTTGCCGTAGACGTGGCCTTTTAAGAACAACGGTTTCTAGTATTGCTTTGTTGATGTGTTAGAAATTGTAAGGATGTTATAAGTAGGAGGTTTATGGAAAATCCCAAAATTAGCTTCCCTAAAGGGTTAGAGCAAAGCGAGTGAAAAACAGTTTTTAAATGATGATTCCATGGGTTATGGAAACATCAAAACTTAGAAATAAAGGGAAAAATGAAAGACTGCCTGGCCTTTCTCGGTCGTGGCGGCCACTGTCCAACAGGCTCACCCCAGGATGGTGGGTCCTCTAGGGAAACGCATCTTAACACAGCCCTCGGGAGAAGGGTTTCTGTTGTAGGCAGAGGGGGTCTATGGGCTCTTCAAAACCTTGGCTTGCCCTGAAAAAGTAGATTTCCCCCCCAAGGCCCTGGCTGCTATTACTCTTCTTGGAGTCACACTGACCTCCAAGGTCCTCCTTTGAGGCCCAGGACTCAATCCCCAGTGTGGCCACAACCAAGGCGTTTTTTTGGGGTGTTTTTTTTACTTTTGTGTGTATGTTTGGATTTTTCCCATGTTTCCCTGACGGAGCCCTGCGTCGGTGGTGGCTGGATTCCGTGGGGCTCGCAGCCACCAATGCGGGACATTCGTGGGGACCTGCGTGGGGCCGGGGGGTTCTCCAGTGTGTGCCCAGCGGCCGCAGCAGTGAGAATGGGGTGCGCCCTGGTGTTAGAGGACTTGCTCGAAGCAACACTGCCCGTTGCCTGGAGGACGCCGGCAGCCTCCAAATCCTGTTGGTAGCTGGTCTCACTGCCCTTCCCACCCCCTCCGGCCATCACCCTGCCTCGCACCGTGGACCCGCCCACGGCAGCGCGATTGCCTCTGGGGTTCCTGCTTTCCCTCGGGCCGCGTGTCTTGTCTTCGTGGCCAGTCCCTGTCCTCGGAGCGCAGACCTGCTCTCGCTGCCTCCAGGGTCCCTGCCTGACTCTCCTGTTCCCTGCAGCTGGGGTAGGAAGTTTTTCCTCCACACGGCTTCCTCCCGGCCCCGGGTGCGGATCCTGTCCTCACCCTCCTGCGGCCTCCCTGAGATCCATCAACGTGCTGGTTCCTACTGAACTGTAAGCAGCCGGGTGCTGCCTCCCGGACAGAGTCCCCGCAGAGAAGGTCGGGACTCGGAGGTGACGGTGTGAGCCCCGTGGGTGCACGGACAGGCGACCTGCCTCAGCGAGGCCGAGAGCAACTTCCCTTTCTCTGCCCTGTTCTCTCAGGCCCTCGGGGGTGCGATGAGGCAACTGGCTTTGTCCAGTCCACTGATTCCTGTGGAGACCCCCTCACAGACACGTCTACACAAACTCTTCGGGATTTTCCTTTTTAAAATATTTTTATTGATTTCAGAGAAAGGAAGGGAGAGAGAGAGAGAAACATCAATGATGAGAGTCACTGATCGGCTGCCTCCTGCACGCCCCCCACTGGGGATGGACCGGGAATCGAACCCCGATCTCCTGGATCCTAGGTCGACGCTCAACCGCTGAGCCACGCCAGCCGGGCAGGAATCTTCCTTATGTCTTACACGTGTCCCATGAATTTGGTACCGTCAGGAGGGGAAAAAACAGCTAAGTGCACACAGAGGGCCGAGCCTCCTTCATCCTCGTGTGTAAATCAGCCCGAATTAGACAACATTCCAAACTCACCAGTGAAGCTCCAGCCCCTCCGGGGCCACTGTGTTGTCTGCACGAAGCCCCCAAAGGTGCCCAGTGCGAGTGCGATGGGCGGGCAGACTGCTGTGAAGTTAGTTCCTAAACCAACGTTGGCACAGGGGGTAGACTGCACAGGGGCCCCCAAAAGAGGCTGCGTCCTAATCCCCCAAACCTGCAAATGTTTCCTTTTGTGGCAAAAGGGACTTTGCGTAGCTGATGCAATGAAGGGTTTTTGAGACGTGAGACTTTCCTGGGTTATCGGCCTCACTGCCCTCCAGGGACACGGTGACCCAGACAGGGAGGCGTGTGACCCCAGAGGCCGAGCTTGGAGGGAAGAGGCGGGGACCAGGCTCCTCGAGCCCCCACAGGGAGCACACCCCCTGACACTTGGATTTGCCAGAGATACTGATTTAGGGCTGCTTCTGGCCTCTAAAACTGAGAACAATTTCTGTTGTCTGAAGCCACTAAGTTTACGATAATTTGCTAGAGAAGCCACGGGAAATTAATAGAATGGCCAAATGACATTGGAAGGCCTAAGTCACCCTAAAAGACACCCTAAAAATTCAGTGATACATCACAGAGGAAACTAAAAGGGAGCGGGAGGAACTTCCCCTGGGGCGTTCTTGGAGGACCTTGGGGAGCGGACGCTGTGACCCCCAGACTTTGTTTACTTGCTGTGGGGACGAGTTGACAGTCACTCTTGCATGCAGCCCACCTGGATTGGTCCTATACGGATCCGACTGACGTTAGGATGTGAAGCTGACAGGCGAAGGGGCACTAATAAAACAGCGGGGGGCGGGGGGGGGTGCTATCTATGGGCTCACTGAGCCGAGGCCACGGTTATGGCTCCGGGATGGAGCCCAGTGGCTGCAGGCTGAGGGGCTGAGGGGTGTGCCGAGCGTGGCGAGTGTGGTAACGACGCGTTCCTTCCCCACAGGCTCGGTGGGACGGCCTGACTGGGCGGATCGCCTTCAATAAGACTGACGGCTTACGGAAGGATTTTGACCTGGACATTATTAGTCTCAAAGAGGAAGGAACGGAGAAGGTAACCTCCCCGATAATAAATTTAGAGAGAAATTTAAAGCACTGCTCAGGCATTTTAATTGCAAATACAATTCGGGGGATGAAAAATGGTTCTCTCGACGTGTTCATTTACACCGGTTTCCCAATCTCACTCCAGATCTGCAGACAGATGTTGATGTGCTGTAGTCTTAAATTACATGTGTTATTAATAGCAACGCTGATGAGCGGTTATATAGTGCGTGGTTTATATAGCAAGCGAGATTACGTTGGGACATATATAACCGATGGGCGGGTGTCATTAGCCCCATTTCTCTAAGGATTTAAAAATTAACTTAAAAAATCAGAGGCTGACAACAATGGATCTTTGGAATGGTATCCAAGGGTTACTCGGAATTTAATTTTAATTGCACACCATTGTGAGACTGGTGATTGAGGCACAAAATAAAGGAGCATAGAATAGTCTTACCAGGGCAAACCAACTTTGCATCTTTGATTTTAGGAGGAAATATGCCAAAAATGTATTTTAATGTTGGATTCTGATTTTAGGATTATTTTACTTGTGATTCTCAATTTTATCAAAGTTTAAAGTTCCATTTTTGTTACTATTTAGAGCAATTCAGACGTAAACTATTTAGTTAAATAATAATAAAATAGAATTTGGCTTCTCGGTATATTTTATTATATCAATTTTAGTATTCACAACTGTAATTTGGAATTAACGCTTATAATGTGAAGGTTTTGCCCTTTAGAAACATAAAAAAGATTTGAAACCCCTCAAATAATCATCCGAACATCGCCACTCTGTAGTCTAACATTTTTATTTTTTGCTGTTGTGGGCAGGAAGCTGTGCTCGGTGGACAAGGTTGTCTGTCTTTGGGGAGCAGTGACTTCATTGAAATATTTGGGCTGATTTTTAAAACGAGATGGATTGTCCCTTCCTGTTTTGTTGGTTTTGCTAACTGGGACGCATTTGCGTTTAGGTTCTAGCGATGCCCCACCCCCCAAAGAGCTTAACGAACGCAAACAGAGCAATTAGGCTGGAGGTAGCAGCAGCTGACCCCTGGTGTCCAACGTTCGAGGGAAATAATTAGTTTGCAGCTTTGAGAGTGAACAGTGTACGTGCAGGTTTCCCGGTTCAAAATCGCCGCCCCGTCCCTCCCCCCAGGGGCGTCTTCCCTCGTCTGTTAACAGCCTAACCCGCTCAGGGGAGCACAAGGCATCGGCCTTGCCCCCGTGGATGTGGGGTGGGCCGGGGAACAAGAGAAGAGCAAAGAGGGCCCGTCGTGGGCCGAATGCTGCACGCGTGTTCCTTCCCCCTTCCTCTGCCTGCGCCCGCTCTCGCTCTGCCTGCGCCCCGCTTTCCCTCTGCCTGCGCCCCCGCTCTGGCTTCTCCC